TCCAGTGGTTCTGTTCTATCATACATTTTTTGTGTCACCTTTTTTATTTTCTATCCTGAGTTAGCCTTGAAAGCTCATGATCCTTCACTAACACCACAGAAACCACAGGGACATTTCTCCTTTTGAAGCACACTATTCTGAAAAGTCTTTAGAAACAGAAATCCTTAAAGTGGGGATGGAGAACCTGTGGCCATCCATTTATTTTATTTTTTAAAATTTCTACCACACTCTTAATCATAGATCATTGGGGTATTTGAATCCTAGCCTGATCCAAGGTGTGTCACAACAGGAGCACTACCACCATGCAAATATAGAGTAAAAGTTTAAGAAATGTGCCTCTAAATGCATGTTTGGGTTAAATGTGGGTCCAGGGGACTGAAAAGGTTGAAAATATCTATGGTAGATGACAATTCCAGAGTGGATAACAATAAAACGTAAATGAAAACATCAACATCAATAGCATACAGTAAGGCAGAACAAAATGTTATTGCATTTTAACTGCTATCTGTCCCCACCAGCCCAGGTAACTGTCAGGAATTATGGGAATTATAGTCCAACAGGGTCACAGGTTCCCAATCCCAGGTTTTAAATTATCCTCTCTTATTCTTACAGGCTCACAACCCTGCAGAATGTAATAGGGTGTTCAGTTCCCTACCTCTGGTTTTAAAATGAGCAATATCAGAAAATTCTGCCTCATCCCATACAGAAAAGTAGCAGGTGCAAAGGTTAAGTTCATATAGGCTTTTCCTCTATGTTTTTCTTTACTTGGGGATTTTTACCTGCTCGTATTCTTCTCCATAAGTTAAGTTCAAGGAAGCTGTTTGTATCTGACCTGCACCTGCGTTAGTATAAAGTCAATATTTTCATGCAGCCATGCTGTGGGCACGGAATGAGAAAGCCATGCTCTGGAAATGCCACAGCACCACACTCAGGTGAACATATGTTTGGTACTTTAGTGGGCAAAGCATGGGTCAACATGATCACACATATGGGTAAAATCTCGTTCCTTCTTTGGTGTTGCTCACAAAACCAGTTCAGCATAGAAATAATGTTTGTTGACTAGATCTGGACAATCATTGTTGCATGACTATTCTGCTATCATAATTTGCAACTCAAAGTACATTTTTGGTGCCACCACAAAGCTGTAGTTGTCTGCTTGGGGGTAATAAATGTGGGCTCTGAAGCACAGTATAGCTCCAGGACTAGCAATGCCTAGCTGAAGACTCTTAATCTCAGTGTTGGGGGTTTGAGCCCTGTGTATTATTATTGAATTGCAGGGTCTAGACCCTCCATCTCTACAAGTCTGTCATTCTGTGAAAATTAAGATCTGCAGCAATAGTTTTGTACTGCTAGAGGACTCAGCTGTTTGAACACAGGAAAGGGATTGGTTCCATTCCCTTTGTCATTTCTGCTTCAACCAATCTTTTGTAAAAACAAAGCTGGAGATTGGCGCAAAGGCATGATGATCTTTTATGCAACGGAACTAAACTTGGAACTGAAACAAAATTCTAAAGCAGAAACCTGCCCTGAGTCTGTACTTGAATCTCTACTCAACCCACAACTACTCTGTCCTCAATTGCCCCTCCAATTCTCTTGTAAAACAAAAACAGGATTTCATATAAAATGTCTCAATCTTCAAATCACCAGGAAATGGCATTCCAAGATGCAAAGCTCTACAGGATTTGAGCAATCATCTGGTAATCAGTTTCTGGATAACTGGGTGTTGATTAAGTGGGGCTGTACTAAGTATCCACCCACTGTTGTGAGAAAATAACAGTGCAAAAAGTCAGCAAATGGAAGAACCTACTGTTAGGGGAAAAAGTATTCCTCTCAATGAAGGAGAGTTAGCTTCCTTAATATTTAATAACCTGCTAGACATGGGAATAAATCACGAGGAATTAAACACATATTTCATAATAACTACATAGGAAACCAGGAACGCACTATCTGTATTGGTAGAACTTTCATACGGTAGAATAGAAATTGAATTGTGATAGTATAAAGCCTTTAGCAAATGATCTGATTTAATCTACTTTTGTTCAAATGGCTAATTTGCTAGACTACCTAGCTATTCTGTGTGCCCTTCTTTGGCAATAATTTTTCTGATCCTACAAAGGCTGACTTCTCTCAGGCTCTGGGTTCATGTTTCACTGCAAGCTTTCATCCTAAGTAGTCCTTATAGTACAGGCATGTCCAACTTCCAAGAGACAGCCATCTACTCCTACTATAAATAGACTGGCAGTGATCTACCTTGGCCCAGTATACCTGAAGGAGCATCTCCACCCCCATTGTTCTGCCTGGACACTAAGGTCCAGCGATGAGGGCCTTCTGGTGGTTCCCTCGCTGAAAGAAGCCAAGTTACAGGGAATCAGGCAGAGGGCCTTCTCGGTAGTGGCACTCTCCCACCAGATGTCAAAGAGAAAAACAACTACCAGACTTTTAGAAGACATCTGAAGGCAGCCCTGTTTAGGGAAGCTTTTAATGTTTGACAGACCATCATATTTTAATATTTTGTTGGAAGCCACCCAGAGTGCCTGGGGAAACCCAGCCAGATGGGCGAGGTATAATTATTATTATTATTATTATTATTATTATTATTATTATTAGCTGGTTGGACATCCCTGTATAGTAAATCCAAAGCTCTGTCCCATCTGCTGGAATGGAAATGCACAAGAATCCTTTCCATTTGCCTTGAAAGGGGCTCCATCCTTTCAACACGCTTAACGAGAGGGTGTGCAAAACACTCACTTGAAGTAGCTGCTGCTACCTCTACTACCATCACCTCTTTTCCTGATCAGCCCACAAATATTTCCCAAGGAAGGAAAAGGTAAGGCAGCAATGGCAGTACCACAGGCTGGGACCTCATGTCCCTTGTGGGAAACACACAGTATTTGTGTCCATTTCTGCCAGGGATAGCCTCTACTACTGCTGTGTCCCTTTTTGCTGCCCTGGCTAATATTTGTGGGTCCTGGGGTAGGTAGGGAAAGGGAGAAAGGGAGTGGTGATGGCCCTATCTGTGACTACTAAGTGATGATGCAAAGGAGCCTGACAGAAGGTAAAATAGGAACATTACTTCCAGTGTGCCCTTTCATAAAGTAAGAGAAATTATTGTAGGGTTGCTAATGCCTGTCCTGCTGATTCCTAGTAGGCTGGCAAGATTCAAGAGGCAGACCAGTGAGAAAGGGCAGATCTTAGAACTGCTTTTCATTATGATATTAGAACAAGGGGATTCCGTACTGCAAAGGCATTCACTTTGCTGGCTCATCACTATGCTGGCCTCTGCTTCTCTATTTGCTACATTTGTGCTTTTTGATAAAGCACTCAATAAATTGATGCTGCTATGGGCTTTAGGGTGGGTGGATCTGGTAGAGAATCCTGCCAACTGAAATGGAATCTTTGTGCCAAGTAGGTTTCTCAACTGAAGTTACTACCAATATGGAGATTCATCCAGATTCATTATCAACTAAAAAGACAATTAAGAGAATGCAAGCAGCCCAGCTTGGAGGAATGAAACTGCATAAAGGAGCTAAAGACAAAAAGGCATAGACTAAGATTATTGCCAGTGAAATAATAGATTAGAAGCAGTTTTCCAGTTGCCAAAAGATTGTTAAACCTTCCTAGAAAAACACCCTCAATATATTGCTGTGGAGATGAGTGCAGGTTGGGACATCAGACTTATGAGAGGAATATCTAAACATGGTCACCAGCTCCCAGCCTATATGTCCAAGAGGGAGGAAATAGTTGCAATCTGATATAGAAGGCTCAGGATTTAAGCTCAAACACAAGATTTCTGAAGCACACTTTAGAATATACTTCTTCTTAATTGTATTTCAGTTCAACAATTACTTTGATAAAATACGTTTTGTTAAGTGCAAGTGGCTTTAGATACCTATTAAAGATAAAGATAAAGGAAAAGGGACCCCTGACCGCTTGGGCTGTGGCGCTCATCTCGCTTTATTGGCCAAGGGAGCCGGCGTACAGCTTCCGGGTCATGTGGCCAGCATGACTAAGCCACTTCTGGTGAACCAGAGCAGCGCATGGAAACGCCGTTTACCTTCCCGCTGGAGCGGTACCTATTTATCTACTTACACTTTGACGTGCTTTCAAACTGCTAGGTTGGCAGGAGCAGGGAACAAGCAACGGGAGCTCACCCTGTCGTGGGAATTTGAACCGCCAACCTTCTGATCTGCAAGCCCTAGGCTCTGTAGTTTAGACCACAGCGCCACCCATATCCTAGATACCTATTAAGTCCATAAATTACCATATAGCATATATTCAACACAAAAAACAGCAACAATTTGTTGTTTGGATGAGTTTGTTTGGATGAGTTGTCCAGTATTAATTACACTGTGTAAGTTGTAATGATCAATAAAGTTAGGCCATATCTGTGGCGCTATTATAACAGCTTGGGAGTGGCTGGGGAATAAATAAATAAATAAATATTATTGATTTGTTAAGCGTGCTGAAAGTTGTTTGGAGACTCCTATTAGCCTCACAGAGTAACAACTCCCAAAGTTTCCTGGGAAGAAAGATTGATTGTTAAATCACTCTGGTGACAGTACCTCTGAGAAGGGAATAAGGGATCTCTTAACAACTCTCAGTATCCTTAACATGAAACTTCCCAGAATTCTTTGGGGGAAGCTATGACTGTTAAAGAGGTATAATAGTGCTTTAAATGTATGGTTCAGATGTGGCCTTAGGAAACAGCAAGAAAACGAAATCCTTTGTAATGAAACCTATCTTGGGGTCTTCTCATCTTTCGTCTTTAACTGGCTTTCATTTGTATATGAGCATTAAGTATTTCTCACAGAAACATACCACTCCATAATAATATGTTAAATTGCTTTTTTCTTTTACTCAGCGAGGGACAGCATGCAGACAAGAAGTAAAGATTAAGTAAAAACAATTAAAAAAATGAAACTCCTCTACAGTATAGTAATTACAATAATTAAAAGTGACAGCATAAATCCCAGCTTGAGCCATTATTTTTTTTCCTTCTTGGAAACACCAACCAAGACAGGCATTCATTCAAGTAAAATATATTTCATTCATTTTGAGTAAATGTTAATACAGTACCTCTCTCTGTGTTAATTGCACTTCCTATATAGACTGGAGAGAAAAATGTCTTTGATCCGCCCATGTTCCAGCAGACTGTCCCCAACAAAATGTTCTAGCATAGTTCCACAGGTTTTTTCACTGGAGTAAGTTCATTCAGTCTTCTTACATTCACTCTTCTATTTTACATTAACTCAGTCCTGGTTCCTTTCATGAACTAATACAACAGTCTTACACAACACAAAAGAAACATAAGATGCTGTAGGGCACAGCCAGATGGGAGAATTCCCACATGCCCTGTTCCACATTTGAGGCCAAAATAGGAAGCAGCACCAGGGAAAAGAAAGTGACCTGGTTCACACAATCAAATCCTGGTTTAAGAAGCCAAGATATGCACAAGCTCCTTGCACCTTTTCCACAAACCAGAAAGCCACAGTTAACCATAGTTTCCTGTTACAAGTGAATTTGGAACTATGATTACTGCCTTCCACACAGGCCAACATCAAACCATGGCTTCATATTCCGGATTGTTTGGAAGCTACAGTTAAGCACGGTTAACTATTAACCACAATTTCCTAGTATGCATATAATGGTAGGCTATAATTAACTGTGGCTTCCTGGCACTGAGTTCATGGCAAATGAATGAAAAATATGGTTATATCAAGCTAATATAGGTAGGTTGTGTGCTTTAAGCATTTATATGCGAGGATCCTGACTTAAATTGGAATATTGGACTAGGATACTTTTGCCTATATGGCTGAAACCTGGAGCAGTCTACCAAAAGGCAAGTTCTTCTGTATACATGTAGGAGCTCTGTGGACTGCAACTCTTATTTCTACTGAACTCTGCAAGTCCATAACCACACCTCCTCCTCCTCCTCCTCAATATTATAGATTGGATCCAGACTCAATTTGTCACACTTGAGTTCTTTTAAAATTAGCGAGACAAGTTTGTGATGACCCACTTAAGCTCTTTGATACCCTGCTGTGGGTCAAACACAGGACCTACACTTTTCACAGTTTTTCTCTAAAGTTCAAATATTTTTCTTTAGCGGAAGTCATTCTTTAGCAGACACATAGATTCCTTCAGAATTGAATGCATGCAAAATTTGTCAATTAGGCACATTTTGTGGATAATGCGCAGTTACCTTTTCAAAAAAGTATCAGGATGCAAACATGTCTGAGACCTTTAGTCTCTGACCTGGACGCCCAGGTTCCAAATGTTAAATACATGAACACTGACTATAACTATTAATTGCATTAAGAAGGGAAAGGAGTCTGCATAAGCTCAACAAGCAGTCAAAGGAATAAAGAGCTCCAGATGATGCAAGTTATGAGAGATTCAGGGTATGAGGCCTAATACTGGACTCTGGAAGCGACTCAGATAATTAAAACTTGGGCTAGTTCTAGATCTACTGTAGACTGATACATGAAAGTGACTCCCCAAACACTCTGAAGCATATTATCATCCTATAAAACAGATTTTATTCTACCACATTATGTCCACTTAGTCTAGGAATCAACAGTTTCTGAAGAGTGGACTAGCAGAAGAGCCCCTTTAGTAGGAGATAAATGCTCCCAGGACAATATGAGCCAGGATTCACCAAGTTTAGCTCCAGAGCCTGATTTTTGTATTATGAAAACATAAAAGAAAAGTAAATGACCTTTCCCTCTCCACTGCGCAATCACACCTAATTTCTTCATATGTGAGATTAAAGAACTTTCCAAATCAAACATTGTAACTTTGGGTTGAGCTTGCTGTAAACTTCCATGCAGAAAAGTAGTTTTGCTTATAGAATAATAGCTTTCTTCCTTCTTGAAAATACTGGAGGACATATCATTTCTTCCTCTTCCTGCATGTATCCAAACTTTGGGGCTTTGGTTTGATCATGATCACTACACCTCTTCAAGAACGGAAGGAGATTTTGGATTGTCTCCTTTTTGATTCATCTAAGTGCCACAGTGTCTTCTTTTCCAAGTTTCCCATCTGGCATATCTATCCATCTTTGGTCTCACTGTGTTCCCTTCTTTGTCATCTGTCATGCTTCTGTTCTGTACACAGCTCTGAAATTCGAGCTGTAAAGATCAGATTCCCCCTTCTCCTACTGTAAGAGTGAGGTGTGAACAGATGGACAAGCTTCTGTTGCCTTCTGGATATGCTTGGAAAAGGACAAGGGCTGAGAAGCAGAGAAATCTGGCAGCTTCTCACTGCTCCTGCCAACATAACAACATGGAAGCACCATCTCTGACAAAACACCATTGGTGGACAGTTAGACAGAAAAACATCCATGTCAAAATAGCAGCAGCAATTTGCATAGTCATTCCAACAGGAACACTCACACCAACCAGCTACCTCTATTTTCTTGACTCGTTTCATGTTTCTTGTAAAGACAGAAATGGCCATTCAATTGATGAGCTATATCTCATGACAATACGCAAGGATGGATGGTTTCCAAAACAAATGACAGACACTGAAAACTTAATAATCAAAGCATGCATCAGCATCAGCATCGGCATCAGCATCATACACAAACCCTTTAAACACCAAGTCAGAAGAGAGAAGCACTGTTTTAGATATAAACATTGCACTGTCGTAGTGGATCACCTTCAGAAGTAGATGATTAAATTATTATTCTAGTCTTTAATTCAATCAGACTGAAGAAATAAGAGTGCAGCCCATACAAATAGCATGTTTGTACTCCCCTGGGCTACAATACAGAACAATCAGTTCAAAAATAATTGGGGAAATTTGTGCTGTGTTTAGAAAAGAATTCATTTCATTCTTTCATTCAACAATTCCATGAAGAATCATTTGCTTAATGGCATTTCTAATACGCTATATATTTATTCAAACTACTACTTAGTGTATGAGGAAAGAAAACAATTACCATGGATGTGAATCCTAATAAAATATAACCAAAGGTAAGCTAGTATATCATTTGTCGATTTTGCAAATTGCACTTAAAGCATCCTTTTGTTCCTTACTTATTCAACTAGTTAAAATGCATTGTATCACTGCTAAATCAAACATTTAAAAATGCATTTGGGAGATATTAAGAAAATGAAATATGCACCCATATCTTTTTTAATATTTTAGAATTAAGAATGTTTTAAGGTCTTTTAAATGCTATCTGATCACCCACAAAGTATAGGTTTGTACCAGTTCCTGCAACTCAGCAGCTTGTGGTACAGACATTAGCAACTGATAATGCTTCTCGCCATGCCTTGAAAAAGTCACATGCTGATTCTGAATGGGCAAAGCATACAGAGTCAAAGCAGAACAACAGATTCTGCCTGCAGGAGACTGCTGTGCTCTTCCTCCAGAGCCTACCATCCAGGCAATTCTGCTATATGCATGTACTCTTGAGAACCAGACTCATTACATAGGAACACAGGAAACAGAGGAAGACCAATGATTTATCCAACTCAGTACTTTTATCACTGACCACCAGTGTTCCTGGGTCTTTCCCATAAGTCTTTCCCAGAAGGATATACAATACTTTCCCATGGGTTGGACCTGGGCTGTTTTGCATGGAAACCATGTGCTCTGCTACTGAGCTACTGCCATCTTTTTTTCTATGCTATGGGATGTTCAACAAAATAAAGAAGACCAGCTTGTAAGACTGCATGGATCTCCACGTGGACCCTTAGCTCCATGGAGCTTTGGACTGTGTTCACATTCTGTGAAAAGATCAATGGCACATTAAGCACTTAAACAATTTAGGAATGATACCTTTCCTGCACCAAAGGCTGTCAATCAGTGTTGACAAGGGGAGAAAGCGAAGATTAGCAGATAAGATGCAGTACAGTCATGCATTAATGGTGGAGAAGTTAAGGTGACACTAGGGTAGTTCAAGAAAGCAAATACTATTGGAAGGGATTTGGAGGACAGTAAGACAGTAATAAAATGATGTTTTATTCTGTAGATCCAACTCAGAAAATGCTCTCCACATTCATTCACAGAAATACAATTATTGGAGTAACCCATCATTAGCCTCTATATTAGTTCTGACCAGCTGGCAGAAATGGCAGTATGTTGTTATTGCAGTGGCAAAATTGTAGCACATTTTCAGACATAAACATAGCAATTCGTATGCCTCACCCTCTGCCTTTATGTGCTGGCACAGCAGGTTGCAGGATCAGGTCATTAAATATTCTCTCTAATTCTGAAACCATTATCTAGTAAAACTGTTAACAGTAGTAAAAGTCAAGACGAAGTTTATTTTCAGTTGAAAATACCTTTCATTGTAAATGTTTGCTATAGTCTCAAACTTTTATTCTCTTTTATTAAAAAAGAAAAAAAAACCCTGAAAATTACTTTGTATTGCATATAACATTTAAAAGGCATTTTATAATTAATTTTCCCAAACAAATATTTTTAAGATAGGATTGTTTCAAAGGTAAGTGAAAACTGCATGCAAGAATAACAAGGACTTTGTATTTATGGTCTTTCAAGGGACAAAAAAAACCCCAACACATTTTAATTGGTGGAAGTAGTAAAATAATAATCCTGATTATGAGTTTCTATAAATGCCATTCTAGCTCTGATTAAATGTCACAGGCATAGACTTGTTATTTAAAAACCAGTGAGGCATAATTTGATAGCTATAATGAAACTTCCCAAAGATTTGTCTCTGAAACACTGTTCTCTGCACATCAAAGAGCCTTCGTGGCATAAAGCTCCATCATGTTACTTCTACAATTTGCAGGAGAGGAGGGGGAGGGAATGGGCCAAATTGTTCACTTAAATACAGTGGTACCTCAGGTTACATACACTTCAGGTTACATACGCTTCAGGTTACAGACTCCGCTAACCCAGAAATAGTGCTTCAGGTTAAGAACTTTGCTTCAGGATGAGAACAGAAATCGTGCTCCAGCGGCGCGGCAGCAGCAGGAGGCCCCATTAGCTAAAGTGGTGCAAGGTTAAGAACAGTTTCAGGCTAAGTACGGACCTCTGGAACGAATTAAGTACTTAACCCGAGGTACCACTGTAGGTATAATGGGAATGTGGAATGAATAAATCCATGCAGACTTTTGCATGAATTGGAGGGGGGTAGATCACACACCCCATCATGCATCTCAATTGACATTTAACTTATCTGACCACTGGATCACCAAGTTCAAGATTCATTTGGGCATTTATTTTATTATTATATATTTTAGAAATTTATGCCCTGCTACTGCAGATAAGGTGGGACGTGGGTGGCGCTGTGGTCTAAACTACAGAGCCTAGGGCTTGCTGATCGGAAGGTCAGCGGTTCGAATCCCTGCGACAGGGTGAGCTCCCGTTGTTCGGCCCCAGCTCCTGCCCACCTAGCAGTTCGAAAGCATGTCAAGTGCAAGTAGATAAATAGGTACCGCTCCGCCAGGAAGGTAAACGGCGTTTCCGTGTGCTGCTCTGGTTCGCCAGAAGCGGCTTAGTCATGCTGGCTACATGACCCGGAAAGCTGTCTGCAGACAAACGCCGGCTCCTTCAGCCAGTAAAGCGAGATGAGCGCCACAACCCCAGAGTCATCCGCGACTGGACCTACAGAGGCTCACCTACTTGTGGGGGCAAACTACCACCTGGTATATTGACTACCAGTCTGCTCCCAGGCCAAGATCAGTGTTTGGGCATTAACATTTAAGTTCCTAAAAGGCTCAGAACAAGATTACTTGAGAGAATGCTTTATCCCATTTATACCCAATAGATCACTGCACTCTGCAGGACAGTTTCGCCTTAAAGTTCCCCAAAAAGCATAAGTCCATTCCACAGTAACTTTCAGTGTGGCTGCCCCGGTTCTGTAGAACAACATTTCTGCTGAGATATGACACAGGAACCTGCTATTTGTACTTGACAGAAATAGCCAAACACAGTTCTATTTCAGAAAGCTTTTTCAGCTGGGTAAAAATATCACTATTTGGTGGTTTACTCTGTATAGCTTTTCAATCTATCACCAGTTGTTATTTGTAGCTTTTAAGAAACTTTAAAGTTGTGTTCGTGGTATGTTTCTGAATCATCTTGAGACTCATGTGGAATGTGATTCATAAATTGATTAAATAAAGAATAGAACTTGTCCTATTGAAGACTCCAATCTGCATTAACCACTAAAGGCTCCTGGGAACAAACAGGAAGTCTGCACTAGGCATAGGCTAGAGGGCAAACCTAAGTTTTGTGACTATGCAATGTAGGAAACAGCTATCAGTTTTCAGTATTCAGGTGCAAGCAGCTGTATAGAAGCAGGATGGACTAAAGATACAGAACAGAGTGGGTGGTGATTGTTCTTTTACCTCTGCAGTGTGGAGTGGGATAAGCTTGCAGATACCCCATTCAAGCCTTTGCCGTTTAAGACCTTGATTAGATTCTAAGTGCTGACTTAACTGCAAACTGATTCATTTAACTTTGGTAGCTATCGCCCACACAATCTATTCTCCCCTAGATGTAACAGTGCTGGCGGTGTTGCTATTCCCATTAGTTCCATCACAGCGCATTGAAGATACAAATGTTTGAAAGAGGCAATTTGGCGTATAAGAATCAACAAGTAATAATGAATTATCCCAATCATTATTTCTCTCTCCCCCCCCCTCATTATTTCTGCAAAATGATGTTGTCAAGAATGCCAGTAACAAATAATTATCTGCCTTTTCACATGGAGGGGGGTACCTATTGGTGACTGGCAAAGAAGGCCTACAGCCAAAGTGATTGTGAGACTCACATGCAGAGTGAAATAAGGTGTACTTGTGTGTTTCTGGAAGAAATTTCTGCCGAGAGAGAGAGAGAGAGAGAGAGAGAGAGAGAGAGAGAGAAAGAAATTTAACCCATTAACTTATGTAGAGTAGTTTGGAATATAGTTGTACTATGATACTCCAGATGTGTTTAAACTTATTCAATGAAATATGTTGCTCATGTAAAATTTGTAGCAATGTGCATAAACACATTTAATAAATGAAATGCAATGAGTGGTGATGAGTAACTGTTCATCAATGGGCAGCCTGGGCACTGGTTCTAGAAAGTTGATTAATGGGAAGGTATTCTTATGCATTTTGGACAATGTAAATGTAGGATTGCTTTAATAGTAATAGCAGTGATTTTTTTTACTCAGTAAATTGTTTTTTTTAAAAAAAATAAAAAACACAACCGTAATACCAGTTTTGTAGAGTCAAGGGGGAGTTTTAGACGTGTGTTTTCAGGACAAACTACTTCTGAAGTTTCTAAAGTGAGTTGTGATATGGTTTAGTGGTCTACTCATCAAAGAAAAAGTCCTACCAGGCACATACAAGTCCTTGGGCTCAACCAAAGCATCTCTTTCAGTCTGTAATACTACACTAAGTAGCTACCCAGTGTATCCATCGGCACAATAAGTATGTAAAGCTACATATGTGCCTAGAGTTGAGCACCGACCGCATGTATTTAACAGCTAAATCTATGGCAATCTGGTTAACAGACCAGGGCTAATTATTTCATTTCTAGGCAAAGTTATGGAACCTGAATGGTTTTTAAAGTACATACGGAAAAACAAATGGATATACAGTGGTACCTCGGGTTACATACACTTCAGGTTACATACGCTTCAGGTTACACACTCCGCTAACCCAGAAATAGTGCTTCAGGTTAAGAACTTTGCTTCAGGATGAGAACAGAAATCGTGCTCCGGCAGCGCAACGGCAGCAAGAGGCCCCATTAGCTAAAGTAGTGCTTCAGGTTAAGAACAGTTTCAGGTTAAGAACGGACCTCCAGAACGAATTAAGAACTGCTAGAACATTAGCAGTGGCAAAGTTTTTATCGCTGGTTGCAAGAACCAATGATCCCTATATTCTGAACAAAATGCTTGTTTAACCTGGAGGTAGGCTGTATGAATTCTGTATTGCTTTGTAACGATTTGTTGGGTCTCTGGACCATAATAAAGATTGATTGATTGATTGATTGATTGATTGATTGATTGAATTAAGTGCTTAACCCAAGGTACCACTGTAGTAGGGTTGTTCAACAGTGGAACGGTCTCCCTTGGGAGGCTGTGGACTCTCCTTCCTTGGAGGTTTTTAAAGCAGAACAGTTGGGGGCCCTGTACTTCAGTGATTCTGATCCTACTTCCAGGGCCATTTCCAGAAAGTAGCCATGAGATGAATGTGGGCCAATGAAAGGAACCAGAATCCTGAAATGGCAGGGGTGTCATGTCCAGGAAGTTGGAGAGTACTATTTGCTGCTCTGCCTTAGGCAGCAAAGTGTCTTTGGCTAGCCTTGTACATCATCTTTAATTCTGTAATCCAGGGATGGCTAACTCACAGCTCAGAGAGGCTTGATCAAACCCCACAAACACGTACAGTGGTACCTCAGGTTAAGAACTTAATTCGTTCTGGAGGTCCGTTCTTAACCTGAAACTGTTCTTAACCTGAGGTACCACTTTAGCTAATGGGGCCTCCCGCTGCTGCCGCACCACCGCTGTGTGATTTCTGTTCTCATCCTGAAGCAAAGTTCTTAACCCGAGGTACTTTTCTGGGTTAGCGGAGTCTGTAACCTGAAGCGTCTGTAACCCGAGGTACCACTATACTTTGGTTTCCTCCTGTGAACCTACATTGTTTTTAGAAACAGCAGCAAAAAATTGGGGAGTCAGCCACAGCGTTGGTGGGGATGTGATTTGCCCCATCCCTGGTCATCATACTGAACATTTGATGAGTGGCGAGGAGGCAAAAACAACATTCATTCCTCTGTTTACTTGCATGGAGCAGCTGAGAAGGAGAATTGTGTGCATGTGTGTGTCTACCTGCATGTGTCAAGTATGTGAGAAGGGGACTTCTGCCAATATTTATTGCTGGCAGCAGAAAGTTGCCCCCCCCCCCCCCCAGCTCACCTCTCCTACTATAATCTGTCAGACTGTGTTCTGTATTTTATCGGGTGTATCATTGTATCATTGCTACTATCAATGGTTCTTCCAGGGATGGAGAGGTGGGGAATCTTAAAAGAAAAGTAGGTTTTGTTTTGCAATGTATCTGCTTTCAGGAAAATGAGATCAACTCTCAATGATAGAGTAAGCGAATGGTGCTTCCATTCCCTTAGTAGGTTAACCATGTCCATCAAATAA